GATAAAACCCTAGTGAATGAAAAAGAGTACACTTCCAAATGTGACACTGCCTCGTTAAAAAACCTTGTCAGGAAAATCCATTGGGACAAAACCTCGATCAAGGAAAAAAGAGTACAGCGTGGGTTACTCTCCCTGTTAAGTACGTCACTTGTAATCTTCTTGTTGCATGCCAAGTTATTGACCAGGTTCTTGATTGTTTAAGTCAATAATAGATAGATTATTTCGACTTCTCATGTAGACAGTTGTCTTCATATACCTGTATAATCTTGAGTATTTTATAATAATGGAGATGCATGACCATCATACCTTGAAGGTATCAATATACGACATCCAAGTCTTGACTTATTGATTAGATAAACCGAAACTTTATATGGTACTTCAGGACAAAATCGGTCTACATCATTAATAAAAAGTCAAGAAGAAGGATCTATATGCACATCAAGATTTTAATCAAGTGCGTTCAACGGGTGTTGAATATATACAGGTCAAACTATTTAGACCGAGATTCTACTCAAGATCTTTCATTATCCTTGCTTCAGGCAAGTAGCAACCTTTTGAATTTCTTTAGAAGTGTTCATAACTATGATTTAACTCTTCAAGAGTTTTATTTATATTCAGGCTATTCGAACTTCGTGATAAGTTTCGAGAATATTCAGCCTTTTGAAACTCTACAAGAGTTCGATGCTAACAAAATTGTAAATGCACATATGACTTATGAATACTCACTCTAATATTAGTTATCATCCTATCATTCAAATATGATCATAAAAATAGATAGAAAATCATGTTACAAAGAAACATAACATATCTAGATAAAAACAAACACAACATATTATATTCAAAAAATATGAACCTAAATATCTAGACACATGAAGACGTTATAACTTGGCTAAGTCTTTTGAACTAATTTCTCGAGAATTGGGAATCATGTCCCTTTTTTAATCCTTCGGAGATTTCATATAGACGTCATTATTAAATATGAAGTATCACGTACTAAGTGATCACTATAATCAAGAGACGCATTTCTTATCTTCATTTGCTACCAGATTAGCAAATGATAGAAGATTTTCCTTTTCATCCACTACAAGATAAACCGAATTTTGAGAAAAACTTGTGCAACAAGAAGATTGCTCGATAATGTTTTGCACAATCACCCGCCAAAATTTAGCCCGTATATCACTTGCCAAACTTCTAGTTCGCAAGTAATTTCAATTCTAAGTACACATCGTCAAGTGTGTATCCGTCTTTTCATCTGTTATGGCCAATAAGTTCAATGTTTGCATCTACAACAGACTTTCATTTCATGATCCTCATTTTCATTTATTTTACTGCTGCATCATAAGTAATTTTCATGTCGACATTTTATTGCTGATCGATTCCATGTTCTTTGGTAATGAGATCTCACAATCATTAAGTTTCCCAAGTATTCATATACTTCTTCTAGAAGTTAATTCACCGTAATGGAAAACTATTCTAGTTCAAAATTCTAATAAATTATAATTATTCGTATTTGCCATCTCTATAGATTTAAACCTTGTCATTTACGAGAATTTTTATCATTTGGAATCGATGGTTCAACCATTCATCAAATGGACATTCAACTAACAAATAGTGGCAGGTAGTCCTTCAGGGACACATTATCAAAATTCTAAGTTTTAACAGCCTTTTATATAAGATATATTTACACATTTGGTCAGGTAAACATCTGGTCTTAAACATTATTTCTTGAACTTCATGTTCATATCATCGAGGATCATAATGAGATAATTATATTGTCTATCTGAATTTATAAACAAGCTATTTTAACTTCTCTCCCTGATGTTAGGATAACTAACTTGCTAAAATGACGATTAACCAATCGAGTAGTTAATAAATCTCCCTTTCGGAGTAACTAACTCGTCAAACTAATACGATCAGTCCATCGAGTAGTTAATCTAACATCAATAATCTCAAACATTAGAGATTCAATATTCAACATATATTTCTGACATCTTCTGGAGGTTCCATCATTGTGTGCATTGTGGTGGAATAATTATAATATAGATTGCACATGTAATCTTTGAAGATGGATATGTATTGTTTTCTGACCGAAAACCACTGTTGGGGAGAATATCTGCAATGACCTGTTTGGTCTTATGCATATAATTGGTGTCTTTTGTGTTTCAATCCTTAACTATACATGAGGTGATTACTTTAATTGCATACATGTAATAAACGATTCTACTAGACCGCTTCATTATTGCTCTTATAGGCATTCAATGTTCAACTTCTATCATTCTGGTATTGAGTCATATACTCACCACAATTGTCAAATCAAAATTCTCGTTAGAGCAGAACATGAAAATTTGCAAGTTACAAATTTAACTTCATAATAAAATTTCTGCAAACTTCAGGTTGCAAATTAACGAGAATCATACATGTGACTATCTCATCGTCATATCGATTGATATTCTAATTTGTTGGAAGAAACTCTTGGTTCTCCAAATTTAATGCATATAAACTTTCTTGTTTCGTCTTGAAACCAGAATGGCTTACGTAGTTATGCCAAGTTTAGAATTTCTCTTCTGAGAAAAAATAGTGAATTAATTATTCAAATATACCAAAACAATTTCACTCCATATAAGCGTTTACTTTGACAGAGTATTTGTTATTCAGTTATTTTCATTCTACCATAAGTATTCTTGCTCTTTTGGAGCACACATATAATCTTATTGAGATAATCGTACTCTACATGAGTATTTTCATTATATCATAGTGCTCTTGCTCTTTTAAAAGTAAAGTGTATTGCTCCTCTGCTGGAGACGGGTAGACAATGTCTATCCTTTTTTTATTCTATAGATAATCTTAGTGCTCTTTCTCGTTCCAATATTCATTTCCAACTCTTCTAGAGGAAATGATATATTTACTATATTTGCTCTTCAGGAGCATTTATTTATTTTCACTCTCCAGTGTAAGTATACTCTACAGATATTTTCATCTAACTTGACAAAACAATTCAATTGCATATGCTCTACTGAAGCATTTAATTGATTTCGTGTTTATCACCTGTAGGGCGATTAATAAAATATACAATACCCATAAAGGTTATATGAGTTGCACTATATGCAAGACATATTTTTGCCATTAACAAATTTAGATCTTATTTTTTTCGAAACATGTAGATAGAAATGTCAATTAAATAGTATCATTACTATGGTGACTAAAAGATTGTAGCACCTCCAGGGTGTTTGACATATTGGACATTTTCATCTCGTAAATTTTTTAAATCACCTTCAGGGCGTTTGACAAAGATTGAATTATGAGTTATTAATTCATGGTCGACAGGACTAATGAATTCGTCTACTTTCAATAATATATTGATGATATCAATAAGATAATTGTGGGTATACAAAACATGTGAACCCAATGATTTTTATGCCCGAACGACAGTATTTGCAATATACTACTTTTCATTTTCAGATCAATAGTAGTGTTTTCACTATTTTTCCAACTTCAAGTGGTTAATAGGGTATTTGTCAGAATCCCCACTATCATTGTTTCAGAATCGTCACATTTACTTCAGGAAATGGACCATGTCTAAATTGAACATGTCTTCATTTATTCTCCAACTTCAGGTGAAGAATTATATATTATATATAATTAATGTGGATTTAATGTCTACTTAAAATAATTTACTGCCCACTCACTTCAAAGAATGGAAAGAAAACAATTCATAAGATTTCTATCGCAATTTAATATGGTAACTATGCTATCGCAACATTGCTATTTTAGGAGAAACTTTGATGCATTGGCAATATATTTTATTTGCATTAGTAAATACCAGTAATACTATGAGTAATGTTGAATGTAAAAGTACAAAGTAAAATATGAGAAGGAGATTTCTTTCTATCACTACATTTTTACTAATATTAATAAGCGCATGATAATAAAGCAAAGTGCTTATCTAAATATCAAAGAAATTAATTCTTTAAAGAAAACATTTGTTTTTCTTTGCGCACATGGATACTATCACAATTACATGCGACTTATATAAATTTTATACTTTCACATGATCAACAATCATATACATAGCTTAAGAATTGCATCGTGATTGTATGACATGAGTAAATAAAATTTATAACAAGAAATATTTTCTTTCAGATGCAAACCAAATATGCATGTTTTATGATTTACCTTTTTCTCCCATCATCATCATTTTGAGTCATTAAATTGAACTCCATGATGAACCGTCTCAGTGTGGCTAGAGACTTGTGCACTGGAAAGTTTTTGAGGTCACGGCGCTTTAGATCACGAAAACCTTTTAAAATATTCATTGATGCTTCAAGTCTTCAGAATTAATACGCACCAACTTCAGGCGGTGGTAGAATTAAAATAATCATTGAGCATTCATGCCTTCAGAATCAATACGTCAATACGCACCAACTTCAGGCTGTGGTAAACTGAGAAACTCTTTGGTTAGAGTCTCGTGCTGATAACTTGTTATAAAATTTATGTTAGACTACTAATATGAAACTAATCATAAGAACAAAGAGAAGAGACAAGAGAGTAGAGAGAGATAAGAGACTTATATTCAGATATTTTTTGAAGCATGAATAACTCCCTATTTATATAAGAAGTAGGGGATCAAACTGTGAGAAATGAATCACCTATCATTAATGCTAAATATTACATAATCATATCTCATTTATTGTAAATAGAATAATACATGTTAATTATGAACATTCAATTAAATCAAATCAAATATTACATAATACTTAATGAATAATTTTCGCATTAATCACTGTCTAAATAGGTATTGAAACCAAAAAACGGCAATGTAAAATTTTAAACCACAAAAACCCCTAACACGGTTAAAATTCTTCTTCAACTTTTTACAGTTTTGGACTTTTTTATTTTTTAAAGTAGCTTTCTACGTATAGAATGTGAGGTAAAAATGTATTTGGACGGAACCGTTTTAGTCTTAGCCAGACAACCTCAAAAGACCCAATAATAAATGGTCACGTGTATCCCAGTAACCTTCGACTTCGATAATCGCCATTGTCTCTTAACGGCCGTTAACGGCCCCACGCGAAGAAACCCATCATCATACTCCCAACCGTTCGTTCACCCAATCCCGGAGAATCCAACGGTTGGAATCCACCGCCCACCTTTAAGCCCTCCCAATCCCATCTGAAAGCAACCAGATTCTCCGGTCAGAACTCTAACCCACCACTCAGGTTTCTCCACGTGTCAGTTCGACATGCGTCTTCTTTTCCTCTTGCATACCTTCAACTTCCGGTAACCCACTCCTTTGACAACGTTGGGCATTCCTATCTTTGTCCATTTTTTTCTTTTTTCGTTTTTTTTTTTTAAACTTGTTTTCTTTTTCTCTTACAAAACATTTTGTCCCTTTTAACTTCGAAGGGTTTTCTTTCCTATTTGATCCAATCTGATCTTTCTTCAAAGCATCATCATTTCGTGAAGAATAACTTCCATCTTGTATTTATTTATTTATTTATTTTTGTGATATTTTCAATTCATTCATTCATGTTAGAGAGACCTCAACTTTTTGGTATTTTCCATTGTAGTTTTCCTTTTTCCCTTTACCTTCTTTCGTTGATTTAGTATATAAGGTGGTGGAATTTCGGTTGAATGATTGGTTTTCTGAGGTGGGTTCTTTGGAGGTTTTGAGTGGGATTATTTCATTTCCCGATTGGGATAAACAAGTTGCTGGATTTGATTGGGTTCTTCTAAATTTGTGTGTGAGATGAATTTTGAATTTCATGCGAAATTGATGAATGGTAAGGTGGAATTATTGAGGAGAAGTCAACGAGAAAGGAAGGTTGTTGATGAGGAATAATTGCTCATAGTGGCATGTGGGCCGTTGCAAATTGAAGTTAGGGTTTCCTTTTTTGGGTTTGATCTGGAAGAAAGGAAAGAACTTTAGGGGGTCATCTAGATTTAAACGATCAAGGCTTTATTGTAAGTTGGGCCGTTTTATTTTCCCCATGGTTCAAGGCAATTTAGCTAACTTTAAGTTCCGGGGGTTTTCATTTCTAAATTGAAGAGTTCAAGCGAAGTAATTTGATTCCTTTGGTTGGATTAGAATAATTTAAACGTTGTATTGGGTTCGAAGTGAGGGTTTGTTGATGTTGTGGAATATGGCAGCTGGAGCTGATTGTTCGCCTCCATTAATATTAGATGGTGGAACTGGCTGTATAAAAGAAAATGTGAGGGAAGAGGAGTTGGATGTTGCTGATGAATTTAAACAGACTTCCTCCATTGGCAAACCTCCGAGGCATTTATCTGTTGTCCGTCACTCAATAAGCTCTGCTACTTTAGCCCAGCCTGATTGCACTGTAAGTTGATAAGCCGCCTTGCTTAGCTTAAAATTTGATACTGTTATTTTCATCTTATGCATAGAATGTTCTTTTGCATAACCTGATGGGTAGTTTCTTAGATCATGTCTAGTGAATTAACCGCAGTTTCCATTGCTGAATGTTTGCTTTTCAAGTTCATATTGTTTCATAATGTTTCCTGCGAGATACTAGCTTTGTTTAGAAGTTGAGCTCTCAAAACTAATAATTCTTGTCGTAATATGAAAGCTTTGCTTTTCCTTTGCAAGTGGAAGTTCTGTAATCCAATTGCTCTGTATCAATCTTCCTTTCTAGTTCTTTTATAGCTGTATCTAACTGATGGATTGCATTCCTTTCAAAGTTTGCCTTCTTTTCCTTCTGACATAGAAATGATAGGACTTCAAAGATTTTTTTGTACAAACTGAATGTGGTTCTGTTCATTGTTGTGATAATTACAAGCTGTAGGAACTTCATAGAACAATCATCAATGGATGCACACAATAAAGTAATTTAGCTCTAACACTTCATCAGTGCACTGAGCTCAATTTTCGCTTGTGTTTGAGTTTGAGATCTTCTCCTAATAGTTTAATGGCAACCTTACTGTGTGAAAATGGTTTTCTTTTTCTGTTTTCTATGTAAGTAATATGGGCTCTCCAAAACACTTTTTGTTGACATTTCATTTTTGCCTTGTGAAGGATTTTGACCTGCCAGTATCTGGACAAAAATCGCCTACCGATGGAAGATCGAGCTTTGTACCAGTTTTCAGATCAGGATGCTGCGCTGAAAAAGGGCCAAAGCAGTATATGGAGGATGAACATATATGTATAGATAATCTACTTGAACAATTAGGTGAAACGGCAGGTTTCCCTTCTCCTGGAGCTTTCTATGGGGTGTGTGACTGTTACTTTTTGCGATTCCTTTTGGATGAATTGGTTTCTTCATTAGATGCAAGTTGTTTGCTGTTGGGTAGTTGTTCAGATTTCAGACACTATGTTCAAATCTTCATTTTATTACATTACATGAACCTTCCAACCTGACCAATTATCCTTCTCTTCGTTTTTTAGATCTTCCAGTGGTAGTGGATTTGCCTATTATGATATGCCTCTTTGAGAGATGTTATTATAGATGTATCCTTGCGATGAGTTTCAGCTTAATACTCAGGATCATATTTTGAACATTGCACTTTTGCAGCCAAATGTTTCTCTTCAGGAGGATTCTTTATCGCATTTGTAGAAATGTCTCTTGCCATGCTGAAGATTAGCTTCCTTTGAGAATCCTCCCCCACCCCGAACACTGACATGCTGTTCCCTCTTTCTTTTTTTTTCTTGTTTTTTTTGTTGATTACTGGATGAAAATACTGTTTGTAGAATTAGTTTAACTTGCTTATACTACACTTTCTGAAAATTAATTCGGAGGTTGTACCTGCAGGTGTTTGATGGCCATGGTGGTACAGATGCTGCAGTATTTATAAGGAAGAATATTCTCAAGTTCATTGTTGAAGATTCCTCATTTCCTGTATGTTTGGAGAAGGCAATTAAGAGTGCCTTTTTAAAAGCTGATCATGCATTTGCCGGTGATAGTACACTAGACATATCGTCTGGCACCACAGCCCTGACTGCATTAGTATCTGGAAGGTATTTTCCAGTTACTTGCGGCATTTCTCTAATGGGACATATCTGTGCGTGTATTTGCTTCTGAATATGTTTTTTAAATGAAGTTGCTTGTAAAGGGAAAAAGGCATTCTTTTTGCCAAGCATGAGAATCCTGATTGGCCTGCATGAGAGTATAGGATACAGCAGTGTCAAGTGATGTGATTGAAATAACGAGGCTGGGTTTTTCTTTTATGATGGGTCAAATGATTTTTTTCAAAAGTATAGGGCTTCTAGTCCTTTGTTGGAGAGATTACGTTTACTTTTGGATGTTTTGCTGGTCTTTGTGAAGCTTGTGGTCCGAAATTCATGAGTCGGTTGTCTTCTTTCAGCTTGAGTTTTCTGCTTCTTGCATAAATATAAATTCACATCCATATCAGGATTATAATATTTTGTAGTTCTTTTGTCATGGAGTTGTTGGTAAGAAAGTTCATATGAAAGTGATTCAGAGATCTATTTTTCGGTGGAGTCTTTTTGTTCCATATTCTCCTTGCTGGATTTTGCAAAGGGTCAATTGTCATACAGGTAGTATATGTTGCAGTGTTTTTTTCTTTTTTTCTTTTTTGGGTGAAAGAGTGTATTTTTTCTTATTGTACTTCATTAGAAAGGGTGGTGATATTAGCTGTTCCGAGATCCTTCTTCCTTTTTTTTGTTGGCTTGTCTATTTTTTTTTTTTCTCCGCTAGGGAAATTAGGAATAGTGCTCTGAGCTGATTAAAAATGTGTCGGCTTTTCGGATCCTGGTCAGTGCTGGAAAAACTGAAATAATTCTTTGCTAATGACTATGAGTGATGCCTGGTGGAAATGCCATGAAGTTGTCTTTAGCTTCGAGAAGATTCAGAATAATCTTATACAAATATGTTTTATTCTATGTTTACGATAACATGGAATGTAGTGTCTTGTGACCTATGGACATTAAGCAATTAGTTGACTATTGCAGGCAATGAGTTCTTCCGCTGTTAGAATCAGTAGGAATGGTTGATCTTTATGGATATTTCATCATCTTGATCGGTTTGTTTCTGGATTGTATTTGACGGGATTGCTGTCCTTGCAGGACTTTGGTAGTTGCAAATGCGGGTGACTGTCGGGCTGTGCTAGGGAAACGAGGCAGAGCTATTGAACTATCAAAGGACCATAAGCCCAACAGCACGTCTGAAAGGATTCGAATAGAAAAACTTGGAGGTGCAGTATATGATGGATACCTCAATGGCCAGTTATCTGTAGCACGTGCTATTGGAGATTGGCACATGAAAGGGCCAGAGGGCTCCTCTTGCCCGCTAAGCGCTGAGCCTGAGTTACAGGAGACACTGCTAACTGAGGATGATGAGTTCCTCATAATGGGATGCGATGGCCTTTGGGATGTAATGAGTAGCCAGGGAGCCGTGACAATCGCCAGGAAAGAACTAATGATTCACAATGACCCGGAAAGATGTTCAAGAGAGCTTGTGAGAGAAGCCCTGAAGAGGAACACCTGCGACAATTTAACCGTAATTGTCATATGCTTCTCGCCAGATCCTCCACCTAGAATAGAAATCGCCCCGACACGAGTCAGAAGGAGCATATCAGCAGAAGGATTAAATCTTCTTAAAGGGGTGTTGGAATGCACCTTGTGACCACCATTTCTTGAATGTACTTCCAGTCTTATCCTATTGGAGCTTGCTTCTTTATTACTACTACTAGTTCTACTACTTGTGAGTTTTCATTGACGTAGAGATTTATTGAATTTATAGATATAATGTATATTGAACCAGTAGGATGGATGGATGGATGATCTGTGAATTGTGTTCTGTACAGAATTAGAAAAGTTTTTCACTTCATTGGTGGGTGCCTATGAAGTTCAAGGACCTGGACTTCATTATGGAGTTGTGGCGAATATTGACCGAGAACTTAAACCTAGCCTGCTAAACTTAACAATCTTAAAGCACAAAAACTTGGATTCATCTTTCCTGCGAAAGTTTAGCAGTAGTAGATGAATTTGTATGTATGTCACAAATTCCTGTTTGTGTAACAAACATGATAAAATCATTTTGGAAGGGAGATTATTTCCTTGAAACGCAGTTGAATGCATTCATTCTTGGCACGTAAGAAAGCCCTTTATCGTATACTGCTAGTTCTGAAAACCATGACTAAACCATCCCAAAAGATCTTTGTGGCCTGATTAGAGCATACTTAACAGTTTCCTTCCAATACGGTGGCAATCATAGAGGTCGCGAATCGCATACTTGATTTCTTCTTCAGAGAAGTACTTTGCACCCAATTACTGGACTCCAAGGCCGGATCATCTCTTCTGAATTCATTAAGTCCAAAACTTTCCGAACCAAGTCACTAATTGGTGGTTTCACATTGCAGCGATGGCTTCTTTAGAATTGCAGCATCCAGTTCTCTGATTTCAGCTCCATTTCCAGTCAGCCAACACGGTTTTGGATCTCCAATACTCTTGCAACTTCGTTGTTTGAGAATGTTGAAAAAGCAACCGATACTGAAACCCACCAAAGCATCTTGATTCTCATCCCTTATCACTGCCTTCACTCTAACGCAGCCGATTCTATATCGTAAATACCCATTTTCGACACGAATTGAGATGGAATATCCATTCGCATAAATGAACCAAACCAATGTTAATTTTCTCTCACGATCGTCTTAAACTCTTGATTTGTTCTTCTATCTACAAACGTGTACGTATTATGTACTCCCTCCGTCCCATAATTATTATTCAGTTTGAGTTTTCATTTCTAGTTTAAATTATATTGAAAGTGAAATCTCAAACTGGATGATAATTTTGGGAGACAGAGAAATATATGTATCTATAGATGTTACTGAAAAGAATTGCAAAGGTCGCTAATAAATAAGTACATGCATATCCATCCTTATCGATTCAAAAAGTCACTAAAATTTGTTTAAAGAAGATGACTTTTGTTAGTTTATTAATTGGCGTAGGAATTCGAAGCATTCCGCCCCGACATTTTAATAAGATCCATGAATTATCACTATCTACTGCTACAACTGGGGAAAAAACAGATTAAATAAATCATATAAGAGCTGATTCTTTGAAAGGAGGAGAAGGAGAAGATTAAAAAAAAACACGTAATTTTCCCTTGTGGTTGGGTAAAATTACAACAGTAGACAATAGGACTTCAAGAATTCGTCAATCATGTTATCTTTTCTCATAGATGTTACTTTTACTATCTTTGTCCCGAAAAAATAATCCACGTTGAGTTTTAATCTATACAATTTTTAGTACAAATTTCAAAATTTGATATAAACTCAGTGTTTGTAACAATAAACATGTTTAATAAATTATCGTCTACGTCTAATCATTCTTCGTTTCTCTGTTTTACATTTTTATTTTAAAACATTTTGACATATTTAATCTTTTCTTTTTGTTATTTGAGCGGTTCTTGATTTTCAGTGCAATTTGCCAAAAATTTTAAAAATAAAATAAAATACTTGTATGTATAGCTAAATGTTAAAAGAAGACTTCCGCATTTCTGACTTCTCGGAATGAATGAATGATTGGGCCTGGTCCATGCAACCCAATTTTGACTGCCGCGCATTCCGGCCTATCATATGTACTCACGTGGATCCTAACTACCAAAAATAATTTCAAATAAGTGGGATTTCCTCAGTATCGATCCTGGTTTGATTCTTTATTAAGTGAAATTTAGTACGCCAACAGAGCCAGTTTGTCCTTAATGGCGACTAGTTTGACCCGAGAAATTATGGTCACGATGAATCTGTTATCTAGATTTACCAACTCGAGCTTTAATCCGATGGTTAGTGATATACTCGAGTTCAGATTTTTAATCTGTTCTGTTATATATCCAACAATAGATTTATGCCATTGGAAGGTCTTTCCTTCCGGCAGTATCAACTGGGTGGTGAAAAGTTTATTTTGTACTTCCAGTTGTAATAGTTTAGTTACTAGTTCAGTGACTAGTTTAGTGAGTGTTTTCTCCTGTATTGGACGGTTTGTATCAATCAGAGCTGGTTGATTTCCAACAACCGTAATAAAGTTCTATTTTTTATTAAAAAAACTATCAAAAATAATAATCAGATAATAGGAACTAAATAAATTAAAACCCATCACATTTTTAATTCACAATCTTATTAAAATTCCATCATTTATACATGCAAAAAAAAAAAAAAAAAAACAAAGTTAGAGGCTTCCTAAGCCCCAAAATACACAATAACGTTTAGTATTCATTTACTCACACAAAAATAATACTCCCCCAGTCTCAAAATTATTGTCCAATTTGAGATTTCATTTTAGTACAATTTAAACTAGAAATAAAAACTCAAACTGGACAATAATTATGGAACAGAAGTAGTATACATTATAAAACGTAAATTGTATTGAAACACTACAATTCACATTTTACAATATAAAATATTTTTATAGAACAAAAAGAGTAGAGAATATAAAAAATCGGACTTTATTCAGATAGACAAATACTACAACTTATATATCATGCACAGCAAAAAGAAACAGGAAAGCCATATTTGACCGTATCAAATTCCACTGGTAGAGAATTTTAAACTAAAAAGAGTGATGTGAACTATCAATTTTTTTTTTGAAGAAATATACTCTTTTAACTATGTAGTATTATTGAATCACTCAAGATAGATTGTATTTCCTTGACATGGTTAGTTTGTATACTTTCATTTCTAGACATTGGGGAAAAGAAAAACCTACGTATTAAGTTGTTAATTTCTTTCGAATATCCAATTTTTGGCTCTCTTTATTCCTCTTTCATTTCATCCATCTTACTATTTCGATCATCTTTACTACCCTATACATGGAGAATTTCAAAATGTCCATTCGAAATTTACTTCCTAGATCTTTTAGCTCTTTTAAGGGTTTATGCGAATAAGACTGTTTTCATTACGTATTTATAATTACTTGTATAATTTTCAATCAATGATAAAACTATAACTAAAACATATGCATACCATACTCTCTAAAGAGATCATTTCTTACTATAAGTAGAGGGCAACACTTTTATACCTTAGGAGTTTTTAGATCTTAAAATGCAAACATTTCGTTTTCGTTTTGGTTTTATATTTGAAATGTAGTTCGAAAAGACTATATGTTATATGAACAATTATTTTAATAAAATACTACTTCTGTTTAAAAAAATCAGTACAAAATAATGTGGATTATGAACTATTTATTTTAGCATAGAGTGAGAAATATTTTTTCAACCATCAACAGACCATCACTGTTGAATCGCCACCAGACAACCACCGGCCGGCCAAATAACGACAGGTGGTGACAGTTAAAAATTAATTAAAATAAAATTTAAAATTAGTTTTAGAAACTAATTAAGTTAAAAAAATTGTATGAACATTATAATTTTTATTTATTTTTGGTTCAGACTATACAAGCCCTTAATATCAATGGGAGATTAGAATAGGAAAAAATAAAATAGATATATGAAAAAATAAAACACCCATATAACTATAATCAAACAACTACTTATCATATTTTATATTTCGGATCTCATAAAAATAATATATGATCTTCCCATTAGAATAGGAAAAAATAAAATAGATATATGAAAAAATAAAACACCCATATAACTATAATCAAACAACTACTTATCATATTTTATATTTCGGATCTCATGAAAATAATATATGATCTTCCCATTTCATGAAATGAGATATTAGGAATTTTTTTCCTTTTCTTTGTCATTCATACCTTAACTTTTGAAATAGCTAACACAAAATTTCTGTTGTATTACTAAATATAACACAAAAATAAGACAATGATTATTCTAGATTGAAAAAAGTATTTTGAAGTTTGAATTACTTGTACACTAAAAGCCACAACTACATTTCCATCTTCATACTGATCTAATTATCATTTATTTTCTCTCATATGAGATATGATTAAATTAAATATCAGAATTTATTGCTCATTAAATATAGAAAAATAAAATTTTGAAAAAGGGAAAAAACACAGACAAGAAAAAGGGGGAAAAAGAAAGGGAGAAAAGGTGATGAAAGGTGGGACGCTCCAGCTGAATGAGGTGCAAAGTAGTAGTGATGATGATGATGATTATGATTATGATGGTGATTTTTGGAGCCCATCTGATATGATCTTTGATGGATAATAGTAGTAGAATGAGATTATTCATTCATTCTCAAAAGAAACAAAAATTAAAAATTAAAAATCAGAAATTTTAAAATCAAAAGCAACCAAAAAAACAAAAGGCAATTCTACATTGCCTACATTCATTTGCTAGTACCACCACCTTGTACTGTTGTTAATGCTACCCACTTCCCTCATTCTCCTCAACCAACCTTTTCTCTTCTTATTTTTTTTCCCCCTATTTTTAAATTGTTTTTTTTTTCCTCCCATTAATCAATTACCACCACCACACTGCCAGTAGTTATCTTTCTCTATTTGCTTCATTCTTTTTTGGGTTTTTTTTTTTTGACCTTTTTCTTTCTTCTTACATTATGCTTTTGTATGTTCACACGCTTACCTCAATTTTGTTTTTCTGACTCACTGGGTTGGGTTGGGTTGGGTGGGGGAGTTGTAGTTTTCAAGACTTTTGCTTCTTGTTGTTGCTTGGTTTGACAGTCAAGTGGGAAGCTCAAAGATTGGATTTTGATGCTCAAGGGATGTGGAAATCTCCATCTTCTGAGCTGATTTTTGCCGCCAAGATGGAATCTTGATGCGGGTTTTTAGCTGATTCAGCTCCCCACCCAGGTGATTTTCTGCTTCCTCTTTCCTATCCATGATGGGTTTTTGTTTTTTTTCCCCCTTTGATGTTGGAAATGGATTTGTGCTAGTGATAGTAAAGGTTTGGATCTCCGTTCTTGTTTGGTCACATTCTGATTTATGCTTTTTCAAGCTAAGAATGCTGGAGAATTTACATTGTATTTTCGTGTTATGAAGTGTTTCTTTTGCTAATTTGCTTTTGCTTAAATAAATTCTTGATTGGCCTTGATGGGATTTGGGGATTGGGGGAAGTCTAAGAAATAATTTGTCAGGAAAAGCTTGGAATTAATTTGATTCAAAGCAAGTTATTGGGTTGAAGAAAAGAAAGATCACTTTGCTTTTCCTGGAATGATTTGGGACTTGGGATTTATTAATTCTGTTTGTATTTGTTAGGTGGATGAAGTAAAAATGATTTGAGCATATCAAATAACTGCATTTAACCTAAAGATGAGTGGTTCATTTACTCTTATGGTTTAAAGAGAAGAAGAAATGGGGGAAGAATCGTTATGCCGTGATTTGGAATCCTTGAGTGTATCTAAGCGTCTTGTTAGAAGTGTCAGCCAGAGATTGAAGAGGAAGAATCTGAGAGGTGAAGAAGAAGAAGAGAACGGAAGTGTGAGCTGCCTTCCATTGTACGGTAGAGGTGGTGGTTGTAAGGTAGGGGCCGATACTGGAGAAGAGTTTGTCGGGGATTACGGAGGAAGGAGGAGGTCGACAAGTGAGGAAGTCAGAGGATACATGACGATATGTGGATACGAGGATACGGCTGTGGATTGCTTTTCCTATGGGATTTGGAGGAAAAATAACAGAAGAATTTTACAACTCAAAGCAGCTGCGACCCCACAAGATGGGGTGAATGTGTTTCTTCCTGACGACATATTGGAGATGTGTTTGGTGCGACTCCCGCTCACAAGTCTCATGAATGCTCGCCTTGTTTGCAGGAAATGGAGGAGCTTAACCTCAACATCCCGTTTCATTCAGATGAGGCGGGAAGGCACATATCCAAGTCCGTGGTTGTTTCTATTTGGGGTTGTTAAAGATGGATATTGCTCCGGGGAGATCCATGCGCTGGATGTGTCACTTAGCCAGTGGCACAAAATTGATTCCGAGATTCTTAAGGGAAGGTTCTTGTTCTCGGTTGCTAGCATTCAGGATGATATTTTTGTTGTTGGAGGTTGTTCCAGTTTGACCAACTTTGGAAGAGTGGATAGAAGCTCAGTTAAGACGCATAAAGGAGTTTTTGTGTTCAGTCCCCTGACAAAATCTTGGCGCAAAGCCACCTCCATGAAATACGCCCGATCATCGCCTATTTTAGGAGTTTCCGAAGTCAGCCCAGATTGTTTCATCATTAAAAGTCAGCAAAACAGACATGAAAGGCGATTCTATCGGTCAAGAGTTGGTGGCGTGTCTGATGTTTACGAGGATCCACACCGTCTTTCAGTTAGGCGTCAATCTAGACACTCTCTTGATGAAAATGATGTCTTGAGAACGCACAATGCGAAGCTGCACAAGAGTTCTGGACTGAAAAGCGAACATTCTCATAATATTAAAACTCCCAGGAGATATGTAATGATCGCTGTGGGAGGGCTTGGCCCATGGGAGGAACCATTAGATTCAGCGGAGCTTTATGATTCAGTTTCAAATAAATGGAATGAACTCCCTAGGCTGCCTGTAGATTTTGGAGTTGCTTGTTCTGGGGTTGTTTGTTGCGGATTTTTCTATGTTTACTCAGAAACAGACAAACTCATTGGGTACGACATGGAAAGGGGCTATTGGGTGCGAATCCAAACCACGACACCATCCCCTCCACGCGTTCTTGAGTACTATCCGAAGCTCATATCATGCAGTGGCCGCTTATTCATGGTTTCTGTGTCATGGTGTGAAGGTGATGGCCAAATTGGGAGGAGAAATAAAGCAGTTAGGAAGCTGTGGGAGTTGGATCTGATGTACCTTAGTTGGAGGGAGATATCAGTCCATCCAGATGCACCGATGGATTGGAATGCTGCATTTGTTGCGGATAAAAATTTGATATTTGGAGTGGAAATGTTCAAAATATTTGGACAGGTGTTGGATTTCTTGACCATGTTTGATGTTTCTGATGATACAAAGAAGCTAAACAGTTGGAGTCACATTTCCAGGAATCATGTGGCGCATCATCATGAATTGGATGCAGCTTCTTGCATGACTAAATCAATGGCTGTGTTACATCTTTAGAAATGGATAATTGTTATGCAAAAGTAAATTGGGGCTGTCCGATTTACTGCTCTTATTTCGGTCATGTTTTGTTGATGAATGTAAATCGAATTTTGACATTGAATTCTTTTGTTGTTATCATGAAGTTATCATCTGTATCTTTTTGTTAATGTAACCACCTTACGTGAACCATAGGGCTTTTGCTTGCTGAGTGTAGTACTGGTGTCATTTTTTAAACCTCCAGTACAAAGTTGGCGTTCAAATAACTATCAACAAAAATATCCATTTTTATCAAATGCAATGGACAATTTGTGTGATTTAGTTGATTTTTTATTAATCATTTACAACATACTCTTACTCATAGCCATCCTCAGTTCACATTCTCACCACAGGCCACAGCTTCACCATGTTCTTTTGTTATGAGCAAGAGAATAAAACACGAAACAGAATCCTGAGGCACAAAGCCCTAACAAGAAAATACTATTTAAGCCACCAAAATGAGGAAGTCACCATTGCCTTTGAAGAAATCAAAATCAATTATACATAGCAGACTACCAAAGGAAGGAGGAAAGGGTATCTCCTCTAATTTAATCTTTTATTACAGGGAAAAAAAAAGAAATTGATACAAATTCATCTTACCAGTAATGAACTTCTATAGAACTTACAACAACATATTGTTCATAAGCGGAAAGAATTGAAACCCTCTACATACAAGAAAACAGTGGGGAAAAGAAAAAGGGATATCATATATACGAATGATGTAAAACCCTAAGAACAAAAAGCATGCAGATAGCAGAACCAACCTTTCTGGAAACGAAATAAATGACCTAAAAATGTTGTTCTATCATCACGCGACGCTGGGAAAGATGCCGGAGAAGTTTGGAATCTTATCGACATGCCTCAAGGCACGCTCTGCGATCTGGCGTGTCCGATAATCAGCATGCTGGAAAGCATCTACGAGAGCAGTACTGACATTAGGATTACCCGAAACTTCATAGGCAATATCCTCTGAGCGTAAGATCCTCTCAACCGCCCAAACAGCCCTCCGCCTCAGGTTTTCAGTGCGTCTCTCAATTAAAACATCAAGGATAGGTCTGATTGCTTCTGCTTCACAAAAAACTTGAACCCCTTGTTCAATGTCGACCTCATCATCCAACAACGTGCATAAGGCTGCAAATGAGGCCTCGACAACCTTCTCGTTGGTGTGGTCAAGAAGGGCAACAAGCTTTTCCACAGCTTGTCCTTGTAAGAGGCAAAAAGTGTCTTTCATAGAACAGGTACCTCGGTGGACCCTACAGAGTCCGGTGATGACAGCTGGTTTGCTTAAGCACGGGAAAATGGACAAACAAAATCCAGGGCCCGGCACTTCCGGTAATTTAGTCAGGTTTTTTGATTCTTGAGATAAGTTTTCCAATGCCATTGCTGATGTCATCTGAACATTGTCGAGCCCATTAGTTTGTAGAAGATCTACAAAAACGGCAGCAAGATTGTGATCTCGACAAAGGGCACGGGCACCAGGCTCGCTAGTCACAACAAATGTGATCCTCGATAGAACTTTCACCAGACCTTCCAGATACGGAGTCATAAACCGGTTGCCTCGTGTCTCGCCTTGTCGAATCCTAAGAATCCTCGAGATGACATGCTGGAAGACGCCTTCATCTAGCATTTGTCGAGTTAGGCCCACATCTCTTTCAGGAAGATCGGCTAAAAGCCCAACGGCTGCCGCTTGTTCTTCTGTAATGCTGATATTCTCTGATATGAGTTTAGTTAAACTGCCAAGCTGACCCGACGTGCCACGTAAGCAGCTAGCTAATTCAGGTCCCATGTGGGGAGATAAGTTTTGGAGAAGTTTAATGGAAGCCACTCTTAAATCCTTTTGTGGAGCTTCGATAAACTGCACCAAACTTATAGTTGCACCAGAGGATTTAATGGCAGAAACAACACTGGAAACAGTAACCTGACAATTAGTGAGCCCAACAAGCACCTGAAGAAGCTTGCATTCTATTGCCGGCCCAGTGTTGCTGATAAGATGGAGGAGATTGTGAATGATGTCTTCCGAAACCAGGGTTTGTTGTTCCGGCCCAACAGGAATAGAATCAAAGACATATCCTGAATTGACAACATTTGCAAGGATCGTGGCGGAAACTTCCTTTAGTCTCATCGGCAATTGGTGGGCACCCACGGTGAACAGATCCTTGACTAAAGGAGGGAGTATACCAGCCTCTATTAATATCTTAGCACTTACCTCATGCGAGGAAATCTGATTTAATGCTTTCAGAGAGGCCTCCCTGGATTGTATGTTACCAGTTTTCATTATATTAACCAGAGATGAACCAACAGTCCTAGCCACCAAAACTTTTACATCGTTGTTTAAGACCAAATCACCGAGAAATCCAGCCATTGATAATTTGGTTTCTGGAGACCCTGTCGTAGTTTTGAAAGATCAATTAAAGCAAAATACAACATATTGGTTTTTATGCTAAAAAGCCTACATGAGAAAATGACATTTGTGAGAGGGTGAAATGACCAATAACCAACAATCTGTTGTGAAACTGCAACTGTAAACAGAAACCTAAGGACAAATTCCCCAGAGGATTGACTGCAAATATCTGTATCTTCGATATACAAAAAGGAGAGATAAAAACAAAACAAAACAACAGACTTGCCACTCATTAACCCAAAAAGCCACAAAAGAGACATCTCAGACTTCGAAAGAGTTTGAAATGAAGCACTGCAACTCATCATAACAACTCTTCTGTTAACTCCAATTTGATGATGTTAATTTTAGCTAATTCTTACTGCTACCTAGGATCTCACTTGAAACTCACATCCAGGATGAAATATTTGTTCAAAGTCCCATATACAAACAAAGAAGAAAATTTGTTTTTATATTTTGTAGATGGATGACAAAGTCTTCAGTTTTTTTTTTTTTTTGAAAAGGGATTCAGTTAAACAACCAAATTCCAGAGAAGCTAAGCTGCATTTCCAAAATACAAAGAATACTCCAGCTTGTTCTGAAATTTAATGTTTTCCATTCAAAATTTCTTAACCGATGCTAGGTTCATCAAATGCACATTGCTACACTAGTCCACAGGATTACTGAATGCCGAATCACTAGAGGGTCACTTCCCTTGTAGTGTAGCATTTTCAGTAAATTAAATTTTCACCTCATATGACACTATTTTTATAATTATTATGACATCCAAAGAAGGTCAATATTTTTTGAGGACTAGACAATTCATTAAGGAGATGCAAGGGGGTTTAGTTCATTATCATACCTTCAAGTAGTAGCCTCAGAAGTGGCTGTAATCGACCACTTTCAGCCATCTGTCTCACATTGTTCTCAGATTTCTCCAGATTCTCTAGAGTTTTATCAGCCATCTCAACAGCCACAAGGTTTTCCGATGTGCTGCTTGCCATCCCAACCAAAATAAGAATTGCTCCATTAACTGAACCAATCTTTTCACATAAAGCTTCAGATTTGGAGAGCTCATACAGCAAACAAACAGCTTCTTCCCTCTCTTTGGATTGCTCATTTGATAAGAACTTCACTACCGTGCGTACAGTGTCCCCTTGAGCCATAATTTCCTGAAAATGAGACAATGTAAACATTAAGATATGGCTTGTAATTCAACCAGATTGAAAAGTATTAAACAGATGATGAATGTCAAGCAAACTACCTTATTATCAGAATCTTCCTCGACCACAATTCGAAGAGTTTCTAAGGCTTTCAATCGAGTTCTTCGGAAACTGCTCTTCAATGTATCAATTATCAAGGGAATCAGCTCCGCATTCCGAATAACAAGCTTATTTGACTGACTTTTGTGGCATAAGTTCTGGATAAATTTGAGAGCTTGAAAAATATCTTGCTCTGAGCTTCCCAAAGTCAATGATCTCCGAGCCATATCAAGCTGAAAAGCTTCGTTCCTAGCATTCCATTCTTCGATAGCGTTCCGTAAGGCAATACTTGGATTAAGTTCGGTGCTCCGTAACTCTCTTTGAGTTAATGGACATACCGGCCTTCTCCCAGCATCCCGACATTCCTTGAACCATTTTTCAATTGCTTCCCTCTCGTAAGTTTGGCCATTCTCCAATGTTACGGGGTCCCGCATTACTTGTTTTGTCAAAGGGCATATGAATGCATCATAGATAGGTTCCACATGTGATCTATCAAAATGAGAGCTATCATCAGACTGATTAGCCAGGTCATTACTTCCATCATCCCAGCTTCCAGCCATCCGAACCCCGGAACCTGACAGGGTAACCAAATTGCATAAATACATGTCTTGTTTTCCAGTCAGAAAAGAATAAGTTAAATAAAAAATGATCAAGTCTTCACTGCAGTACCTTCCCATATATAAGCATAATTGTTTCCTATTCGACATCTTCTATCTGAGTTATATATGAAACTCTAATACTGGTCTAGAGATATCTTTAAACGCTTAATGGGCGCAGGGATATAAAGAAGTGAAAGTGAAATGTGCTGCTTAAATAAAGTCATGAAGAATTCGCTTTTTGCAGCTATACCTACAGTTGCAGTTGCTTAATACCCAACAAAAACAAGTAAAGCTCATTTCTGGCAGTCATACTTACTAATCTCAAGATAAAAAGGAAGGAAAACAAGGCGACAAAGAAACTGAATATGCAGTCCTGCGACAATTTGCAACTAGAAGCAGTATCATCATGTTTAAATGGCTTATCCACCGGCGATAAAGCTTAGACTTGTATCAACACGATAAACTCTAAAGATTGCACATAGCTTACAACCTTCCACACTCGCGACTTCTATTATCCCATTAATATCAATGAATCCCTCTTACTATACTTGGTTACAAATCGATTTGATCATGTTAATTATAAGATTTAAACTTTATTTAAGTCCAAACTATATTAAAGCTTCCACATGGGTAGAACTTTCCACATTTCCCATCCAAGTACAACCACCTCATCTTCCTCCCATTAACATAAAAAAAACTCTCATATTATCCTTGGGTACAAATTTAATTGACATTGATTATTAAGATTCTAAATTTATCAACTGGCACTATGTCCAAACTATAATAAAGCCTCCAAATGACCAGAATTCCCCAAATTTCCATCCAAATAAATTTCACCATTCTTCCTTATATTAACATCAAACAACCCCAACTTGGCAACAAATCTTCATTATCACATTTATTATACAGCCAAAAAAATCAATACACAGAAAAGCTACATGGATACATTCCAATTTGCCCAAATCAGAAATAGCATTCCCTGCCCAAAAACATCACCAAAACAAACAAATGAAATGAAAACAGCAAAGCCCACAAAATAAAATGGAAAAAAGAACAGTCTTTTACCTTAAATTCTAACTGACAATTGAGGGGGTTTCAAGCAGGATTCTGAAGCAACTTTAACATGGAAAATGATAAAACTGAGATCAGAAGCTAAGACAGCCACAATTCTGATTCTTCCATGAAGGGAGGAGTGGAATTGAAGTTAGGGTTCGTGTAAGGGTCCAAATCTACACCATCAAAGTGTATAGAAAGGCTTGGGGCAGGAGATTTGTATGAAAAGGAGGAAGAACAGAGGAAAGGGAAGGTGGGATTATGACTTATGATTAGGAAACAGAAAGAGAAAATAAGAACTGGGCAGTTTGGCAACTGTTTTCCTTTTCCTCGATGGGGATGATGATGATGATCAACTGAAAATGAAAAAGAACAACAGCAAAATTCCAAAGTTCCAAACCCCAGAAATGGTTGTTTTTTCTCACTTTTTCTTTTTTTATTCTTCTTCCCTTCCCCTTTTATGGTGCAGCTAACAAATTTCTCCTTTTTCCTGCAAAGCTCCCAACAGCAATACTAAATGAATTAAATTAAACTCTTTTTTTTTTTTTGGGAAAATAAAGTTGAAATTGGTGGACGCAGTAAATATTTAGTAAGTGTGAACATGAGTTTGAACAGAGGTTGACTTCCAGTTTAGCTGTGTTTTTTTTTGGTCATTAGCTGTACTGTTTCCTTTCTTTCTCATTTTTGTCTTCTCTAATCAAAATCAAGAATATCAATTTGCCACCTGTAAATCTAGTAGTATAACATTTTTTTTTCATTAAATTTGGACAAAAGATCTCATATAACACTTTTTACATTATTTAGTACAATATTCTTTTATGATACATATATCTTACTCTTAAAAGTTCATCATTTTATTGTTAAGTTGTAAATTTAATTTTAAGAAACAGCATAATATTCCAACAACAACAAAAAAAATATCATGTTCATAAATTTTTTAGCTTAATGGTTGAATATCTTGACCCAGATAGTTGTTTTTATGATTTCGTAAATTTATACTCCCTCCGTCCAATAATTATTGTCCGGTTTGGGTTTTCATTCTAGTTTAGATTGTACTAAAAGTGAAATATCAAACTGGACAATAATTTTGAGATAGAGGGAGTATTTAAGAACACACCCCTCAATAAGGAAAAAAAAAACAAACTGATTTTATATCTTGCAACTGCATTTTTAAATAAGTCATATGAGTGATTCTCTCCATTTTCAAGGCGGTAAATTAATTTACAAAAGTTAAAGTGATTGTATTTTCCTTCAAAATAAAAGAACCATTTAGGCTTCAGTCTTTCAGAGATATGCATTGGATCAAAGATAAATTTGTCAGAGAATGTTTTGTTTGTATTCCAGAAAAGGAAAGCGTGAAACCCCATCTTAGTTAATTAAATTCTTCAAATTGGTGTCTGCCAGTCAAGGAACGCTTATACTAGTAGTAGTATTAATTAGTCTGATTTCTTCCAGAAATGGGAGATGAATTAAAAGGAGTTTATCAAGACATGATATTAATCCGATAAAATTTCAAACCCCAGCTGAACCAAATCCAGAAATTAGTTCACAAAATCGAATCAGAATGCTTCAAGAAGTTGAATAAAAAATAATAGGTTGACACACTCAGCGTAGAAATCACAAATCAATTATGAAAACAGTTACACAAACCACAAGAGTTTACAAGAGTATAAATCAGTGAATACTTCCGCCAAAGACTAATACGTATATAACTCTATACCAGACCTCTAGTGTTGTTCTCCAACCAGAATTGAAGTGGATACGGGAACCCTAACAGAAAATTGGAACACACACATGATATTACAGAGGATAAACCCTAAAATCATCAACAATGCTCCAGATTCAAGAATGAATAATTGCCGAGTGATCAGCGGCTCTAAGTACCCGCCACAATGGAGAAGGGTACCAACTGCTGTCAAGATTAGCAGAAACATATTTCACCCGAAACTCAGCGTAAATAGCATAGGAAACTGAAAGAAACCATCTTCAGTACTGGGACTTCTGCAATATTTATCAAGGTCGAGTAAGAACTGAAATGGCCAAAAACCCACTAGAAAGAACTCCAGTTGCTATCAGAGCCCTTTTTAGGGGTTTGACTATCCCCGGATGACGAGACCTTAAACGGACCACTGGAACCAAATGGATCTGAATCATCAAATGAGAAACCTCCTCGACCATGGTCGAAACTCCTGGTGCTGTTTATGGAGTCAAATCTGGTTAGGGTTTCTCGGCCACGGTCTTGTTGCTGTCCGCTGCTGAACGAATCATACCTCGAGAAACTGTCGAAAAAAGGATCACCACCACGAGGAGAGTTTCCAGCCCTTGAGACTGGACTGCCCGGAACTGAATCCTCGAAACCAATCCGGGTTGTGTTCCTTTGGAATGAATTATCGGCTTGGGGAGATTCTGTCCTTGTGGGACTTGCTCCAAAATCGCTGGAACCAAAGAAATAATCTTCTGTCTGCTTCTTATTATGGTCCGTATCCTATCAAAAATTTAATATCCACATTTGGTGTCAGAATTACCAAACATAGCCAATATAAAAAATATAAAAACACAAATCAAACACCATGGAATCTAGTCATATGATCCAATTCCTCTTCGATTGCTTCGGGGGCAGATATATTAGTGCAATTGATTATTCAACATAATGATAATAATAATAACTGATCTCCTCCCCACAAATACAGAGAAAAGAAAGCTAAGCAGGAACAATATGAAGAATCAAGCAAATTATAACTACAGCAATAATGAAAGCCTTTATTGACATCGGCACACACCAAATGCATATACAAATTACAAAGAAGTTGACTCATGACACTGATAAAAACGTTTGAGTTGGTTAAGAAAATGAAAGAGATAGATCATCTCATATTGCCTGCCCACCTTAGTACCGAATCCCCAAACAGAGTCCACATCATCATTATTCTCAAAGACCCATGATTCATCAAAGCCTCTGTCGATGAAATGAGAGAACGAGATGTCAGAATCAGGACTTGACAATATGCAACGAAAAACAGACAATAAATGATAACTGCATTAACCTGTGAGATTCAGAATCTGCGTCAAAACTCTTCCGGAAATGGTCATCTGAAAAACTCGGAGGACTCTCCACAGTTGCATGTCTTGCTGGACTCGCACGTGGACTTTTTGATTCATCATCGCTATGGCCAAATAAAGATTCTTCTGCCTCAAAACCATTAGGATCCCCTTGTGTGAAACCTCTTTCTGATCTATCATCATGTGACATTACATCAGGAGAAAGGGTATTATTGATCGGAGAAGAACTTCCGTTTTCATGAGACGTTATCTTGGAGTTCGCAGGCACAGTAACATCAAATGAAAAACCTGTTAATAAAGAAACAAATAGATCAGCATACATGTGAAGCCAAATACACCACATAACAGCATATATCTGAAAAAACATAAAAAAAGATGCTATAGAGTACCTTCATCTTCAAACTTATCCCAGTCTTCATCCCAAACAGATGCGTTCTCCGGAATGCCAGGTTGCCAGCCTTCAAAAGAACATGAAAGATAAAAAGAACCAAATGAGTAACTGCAGGCCACAAATCCTGTCAGAAGTAAATCACGAAAATGAAAAAAATTGAAATATGTTGCTCTTCAGGGTTGTCAATCGCAAATGGAGTCTGTTGGACAAGAAATACGTGCGAGTGTAAGGAGACACACACACAAACAGCTACATTTCTTCTATCATTCTAAAGATCATTCTTCCAATTAGCCAATAGGAAGTAGTCAAACACCCAATGGGAGAACATTTTCCAATTCATAAATCATAATTGCCAAACCAAAAAGAAAATTTCATTCAAATAACATACAGCTATACACTCCACTAAAGCATTCACTCGATGAACTTATTATAACAACCAAATAATGCTTCATCATCACATAATGATTAATGTTTTTACTCTGAATTACCATTTACTTGTTCTGACCTAACACTACAACACTATTAAGCAGATATCCAATCAAATCCTTCACGTTACACAAAAGTTAACAAAGAAGACAAAGATGAAACTCCATAGAGATGAAAAACTTTGCCTCTCTTGTGAAAAGTCACATAATAAAGACATCAATCCACAGAAAGAAAAATCAAGCAAAAAAGGAAACATAATACCAGGGGGGAGTTCAATTAAAGCAGTTGACTTCACTTCTACACCGCGTTTCTTAGAACGTTCTGCTAAAGCCTTCAATAGCTCCTCGAGATCTGATTGTATTCGATCAGCCCTAACCTAGAAGCCAAACAAAACATACAGTATGAATATTGTTGCAAACGTTTATCTTTTGAAAAACAAAAGAAAAGTTCCTCTGAATTACACCTGAAGAATACCATCTGCACTACCACCTTGTTCAACTTTAATTATTGCTTGATGCAATTCCTGCTTCCTCTCCTAATAAGACAAATCAAAATTGTCAATTGGTTTGATTTTATTCTCAAGTGAAAGATTATTAGTAGTAAAACAAAATCCAGTTATAATCACAAATTCGTGGCATCATAAAGAAATATCGACCAGGCGAACAGATTAAGTAATTCACTTATCTGATTAAGCTGATCCAATGGCATCCCTTAATTATGAATAATGATACACCACTGACTTCTTACGGTTATTAATGTGGAATTCAATCATTAGTTAAATCTTTGTGATTTACTTTTTATTATCAATACTGACTCCCACGTCAGTCATTGTGAGTTTGTCACTGAATGTATTATCACTGCTGAATCAAATTTAAAATTGAGCAACAAAATAACATGGAACAGGGAGAAAATGTCACAAGAACTTTCAAGAATTACCAATGTCATAAGCTGAGGTGCATTAGCACGAAATATTAAATAGGCAAAGTATAGTTGACAATTAATCTTAGTCAGAAAGGCATAAAATTAGTCTTGTGTCTTCTAACCTGTATATCACGGAACGCAGCCTCTTCAATAGTCAACTTTGAAGCAATTTCTGCAACTTGCTTGTATTTTTCTTCATATTTCTTGCCAAGTAGTTCAGCCTGAAATTCAGCAAAAAAATACACATTACTCTTAAATCAATGAAGACGAAAAACATGGAGCAAAAAAAACCATCAGAGAAATGATTATTTGAACAGAAACGTTACCTCTTGCTTATCTGCCCGTGCTCTTTCGGTAATCTCGTTGAGTCGATTATCGCATCTACTTTTGTATAAAACCTACCCGAAAAACATGGCACACAAACACTGAAGACAGTCGCATTTGACTATAATTTTTTTTGAAGTCCTCGTAAAAACAAAATGCAAACAGAGAGATGCTCACCAGATCCTGCATCTTTGTCCTGTAATATTCAAGCTTCTCCCTTGAATCTAGAATCAAATTCTCCTTATCTTCAACCTTCACAATCAAAAGGAAAATGAAAGATCAGTGCAGCATCCTGAAGAAAAATCTGGGAGTAGAAATCATCCAATAGCTAAAAGAAGGAAACATACTAAAAAAAAGTCAAACTGATAGAAACTCAAAAAGAAGTCAACCTAAGGAAGGAACTTTTTAAACATTAATATGAGTTATCTCTTTGATCCTTGCATCAACACGCAGAATGACATAATTAATATTGGCAATCTGATACGCAAACACAGGTAAGAAAATAAAAATTTGCACAATTCTGATCTTTTAATGATGAGTAAAATTAAAGTGATCAACTAAGCCATAAAAAGGAAACTGGGAAAGCGAGAGAAACATATGGTCATTCAGCAGTCCAACAAAGAGTAAATTATCACATACTAAAAGTAGACACTGCAGTTCCAGCTTCAGAGTGAAATAATTCAAGTTATTGAGAAGATGTTCCACGAAAATTTGGTTCCTATATGGTTACATCAGCATGGGTTTTTTAAGCCATCCGTCACCAGTTCTTGTTTCTCCGCAAGAACTGAGGACACATTTTTCATCCGTAATAACCTCCGGATGACCATCAACCACCATGTGAAATTCACCTTTTCATTTATCCTTAACATTCCTATATAATTTCAGAACAGTTCCCTATCCTTTCGTTGTCAAAGAGAAAAAGAATCAATTGCAACCATAGGCGTCCATAACATAAATTACGCACAAAACTTCCCGCAATTTGGGGAAAGTGGAGCGAAACCTACCTTTTTTTCTGTGTCTGTGGCCTCCGGACCATTATTGTCCAAAGAATTTCTCTCCCCATTACTCAACATATTGACATTGGAATTCTCCACCAAAGGCCCTCTAGCATTTTTCTGATTCATCTGCATTTGTTGTGGTAAGCCAGGCCTCACGCCAGGATGCATGAGAGGCTGAGAACCAGGCATACCTTGTTGTGGTCTTGGGCCTGGACGTACATTGTTACGAAATTAACTTATCACCACTATTACAAAGAATGGGGAATGTTCACATATATGCAACAGCAATATATTACCAGGATTAGGTCCCCAGCTGGCGGTGCTTCCATAAGTGGTAGGGGGCCCCGCCATGGATAAAAGAGTATCATCGAGCATTATACTAGAAGGAAGAGTTGATGGCAAAGTGCGACCCTCCCGGTATCGCTCCATCAAATAGAGAGCTATACAAAATTCTCTCAAAGAAAGCATGCTATCACTGTCTTGATCTGACAGGTCCCACACTTGCTTTAAGACCTCTGGTAAATATCAACAAGTGTAAACTGTCTTAATATCCAAGAAAAATAAAACAAAATCCCCAATTAGAGAGTAAGATTTGCCAGAGAATAAAACATTTGAGTATGATCATTCAAACATCTCAAAAACCACGCCTTCACACCTTCAGACACAGAAATGATATACAATTTTACCGCAAAGGTCTTCTCAAGTTCAGGAAAGTCAATAGATTTAAATGTAAAATGAGTAAATGACAGCAACATGCGCAGGCTACTATTCACCTGCAATGGAATGGAAATTCGAAAAAGAATGCTTGCATTATGCAAGGAACAAAATACACAAGCTACAAAAAATCTTCTCGAATGATGTTTGAATAAGAACAAGGAGAACATAATTCAATAGTGAAACACTAGCAAATGCTAAGATTAGCTCATGACATAAAGGGAGTTACAGTGAAGCTCAGTATGCCCCACAAAGAACTAAAGAAAAACTGTCAAAGTTTACATATAATAACCAACATTCTTACAGATCCATTGTCGACATCATCAATATCAGCATACCCAGAATATTCCCAACGAAGTTGGGGTTTAGGGGGTCAGATGTATGCAGCCTTACAATTGTAATTATACAAAGAGGCTGTTTCCGTTGCGACCAAAGATACATTGTCGACACAAAAATAAATCTTTTAACAGCGCATTACTACCAAAATTTTAACAGAAAAAGGAAAATGATTCGTCTTTCTAGAGTAGAGGTAACAAATCTGGCTTAATGGCAGACTAAAGAAGACAAAGATACCTCCTCGTAACAATAGACTGCTAACTTATTCAGCCACAAATACACACAAAAAGAAGGAGATTTATCACGGTACATAAGAAAATATACATGAAGCTCAGTGATTGCCATAATATGTTCAACAAAGCTCTGAAGCTTGAATAAAGAATGAAGAGGCAAACAATGAGAAAGCAAGACTTGAAGAAGTCAAGTGAACTTACCCATTGGCAGCCTCCAACTCATGAAGAGATTGCGTGCCTGTTCACCGCGAATTTTTCCATCTCTAAAAGAGTCTACTTCCATGAAAACTTTTGCATACTTCTGAATACCGGCACGCGTCATTTTCGGCCAAGCTTGTGACTCATCTGAAGTAGAACTTCCACCACCCCCTACTGCTGAATAGGACGGTGCAACTTGAGCTGTCGAACTTTGCTGATTAGGTTTTGGAAGTGGTTTTGTCTGCTGTGGCAAAGTTCCTGTAGAAGGCATCTTATAAGTGCTTCGTAATGCTGCAAAAGGATCGGATGCAGTAGAAGATTCTGGAGCTTCTGGTTTTGGAATAGCTGCAGAAGAGATAGCTGTACTGCTTAATGAATTTGTTGGAGCCAAGGAAGGTTGTTGTGGCATAGTTTGAGTAGCAGAGAATGAACCACCTCCAAACATGGAGTCTGACAAAACACCATTGCCTGGACCAGTCAACGCCTTTGGATCTTGTGGTTTGGCTAATGCAGTAACTGCTGGTGATGGGCCAGCCCTGTTAAAAACGTGTCCTGTTGGTCCAACAGAGTTTCCAGCAGGTCCAGCTCCACCACCAAGCCAGTCATTTGACATACCCGAGTTCAGAGGACTAGGACCTAATTGTGGACCACCTCCCCTGGGGAAACCTGGAGAAGATACACCAAGTGATGGACGTGTAGTAGTAGCCATAGGAGTAGGAACAGGAGGCCTTGTTGTAGCAGCAGCCGTATAACTAGGAACCGCGGGCCCCGCAGTCTGGATACTTTTGGATGGAAGATACTGGGGGCCCATACCCGTATTTGGTGGTAATGATCCTCTGACACCAACGTTTTGAGAAGCAACAGGGGATACGCCAGCTCCCCCAAGTTGTGTTGTAGGTGTGGGGGCTCCCGGATTTAACTGAGGTGCTGGGAGTGCTGCGAGATTTATCTGTGGAGGAGGTATCTTAGCAGATGCAGGACCATATAGTGCTGCCTTGACAATATCTGCGGTTAGTTCTCGCTTACTCTGTGCAACTGTAACAAGTTTTAGAGCATTATAAAATTCTTGACGACTAAGGAACCCAGTGTGGCTCTGATCAGCGTGCATCCATATCTGTATGCCAAACAAATTTGGAATGATTTTTAGAAACAAGCAAAACTAAGAGATGATCTATTTGCAGATCAAACATACAACTATGAAGCAAGTTCTTAATTGCAAACACAAGATACAAGATTTCCTGCAGTAAAAGGATATTAACAGTACTTTGATTGGACACATTTCAACGACATAAGATATTCTTGAAGACTAGAAAGCAAATAGAAAGAGCCAGCATAAAAAAACGATAAAATCCATACAAGAGCACACGAGAATGTCCCCAGAAGCCTTCCATAAACTTGAACCAAAACAGTGAAGGCAGAAGACTTAGAGAACATCTCTCAGTAAGAACACACCAAATAATTGCACTTTGCAGATGCATTAATTAGTACAAATGACCTGATTCCAAAGAAATCTACAACTTCTTTCCCTATAATGAAGCAATTTATGGGAGCAACTCTAGCTCCAAAGCCCTAACTCTAGATTGCCCTTCACCCTCTCTACCTTTAGACATAGAAACCTGGGACAAAGACATCAATTTTCAATGCTGGCCAGCACTTAAGTTGGAACTGATAAAAGGTCGAGAAGATTAACAATTTCAACTTCTCAGAGAACAGGGTCGGAATATTAGCAACCATTATTTCCCTCCTCAACGAGATCATCAATTTGCTAAGCATTTAGCTAACCCGCTTAGCCTATCTAGAAGAGGCGAAGGAAAGAAGAAAGCGATCTTCCACTACCCTCATCCATGAACAATTAGCATCAAGTTAACATGATCCCACCAGAGACAACTACATTTCAATAACAATTGTCTCATAAAAACAGCAGATTCAACGAAATACAAAAAGGGCACCAAAAAAATCTTCGTCTTTGGGAATTTACCTGAGCAAGAACTTGTTTGGACAAATTGGATCCTTGGAAAAAGCTGACAGCTTCAGCTCCACTGATTTTTCCATCTTGATCCAAATCGGCCCTCCTGAAAAACGCTTCAAATTGGTCCATATTCTGAGCCGCCATCTCTTTCTTCTTATATTGTTGTAATTATCATCCAAAAAACTTCAAATGAATTCCACCATAAAGTTCGATCTTCGGAAAGAACCCACGAATCCAAACATCAACTTTCCATGAAATTTCACCTGTACATAGACAAGCCGTTTTGCAAAGCGAGTGAGAAAGCCCCGAAAGTGAGGATTTGGGGGTATTTTCAGATTTTAGTTTAGTTGGTTGAATTGAATGTTGTGATGAACGGAAAAGTAAAAGACAAAAAAAACCTTAAAATCGATTTGTATTTTTTAGTTTTTTAGTGTTTTTTTTTTTTTTTTGCATTCATTTGTTTGATTTATTATTTATTTGTTGCCTAAATGGCAAAATGCTGTAAAAAAAAAAGGTTAATATCAAAAAAACCTCTGGGTTCATATGATTATCTAAAATATCTATATTGTTTAAAAAAATCAAAAAATTTCTTAATGGATAATTCAATTAAGGGTCCCGGATGACTGAAAAATAATATATGCACATGAACTCAGCAAAAAAGTATCAAAAACATATTTGTACTCTCTCATTGAAACTGTTTTTTCAAACCCAAATATTATATCTACTTCTAAATCCAAAATCAGTTTTTAGAGTTCGTAAAAAGTGAATTTTGGATTTTAAAAGTAGATCTTTGGTTTATTAGAGTTTAGAATAGAAAAATCACGAATTTGTAATATGTAATATAAATAAATATGTACATGCAACGAAAAACTAACCGTTTCTTTTTCTTTTCAACCAAATGTCAAAATTTGATGATGAAAATTTCTACACAACACACTCAATTAGTATCCAAGTATACTAAATAAATATCCAAAAAAAATGTGCAATTTTGATGAACAATGTGCAATCAACTTTGAGGAAGGTGAAAATAAAGCAGACAGTATGTTCACATGGTTGTCCTTCTCCCTACAATCCTAGTGAGAGAATGTCCTCGCTTTCTCTTAATTGAGCAAGGCTAAGGCTCCGTTTGATAATTACTGAAGTCTGAATCTGAATACTTAACATTTAACACTGAAGTCTGAAGTCTGAAGACTGAATCTGAATACTCAGGTCTAAAAGTTATTTAAAATTTTAATATCATTAAAATTGAATCATAAACAAAATTCTTTTAAATAAAAAAATAATTAATATTTTGTTCTAAATAATAGAATCATGATTTTAAAATAAGTTTTTGGTATATATAATGAAAGTAGATATTAAACTTGGTAAATAATCAATTTATAATTAAATTTATATTATTGCATATATATATGTATACCTTGTTCTTTAGCAAATTTCATGTATTAAAATTAGTTTAATTTGAGTTTGAAAGTTTGGGATCTTTTATACTCATAATATAAATTCAACTTTATGCACTCTTAATTAATTCATCTAAAGAAAATAAAAATTTTAGAACAATATAAAAATAAGCGTCGAAATAAAGACGAAGGAAAAAAAAGGAAAAAAGAAAAAAAAAAGTCATTACAGAAATTAAGTGATAAGTGATGAGTGGTAGGCCTATCACTTATTTTCTGGCTCACCATTGAACTGAGCATTCAAACGCACTTAATTAATTCAGACTGAAATTTTAGTTATCAAACGCACTTAATTTATAAGTACTTAATTAGTTCAGAACTAAATTCATTAAGACTTTTTAGTAGCAATTATCGAATACACTTAATTTAATTAAATACTTAAATAAATTAAGTCACTATCTTAAGTGATTATCAAACAGAGCCTAAAATACATGACAACTTAAGAACACTTTCAATTCATATTCCTCAAACAATCACATAAAACCAAATTTTGTCCAAATCCAAGATTTAGCAACCTGTTTTGCTAAATCCACCATCCAAACTTCATCCGGTTTTAAAATACCACCAAAATTAGTGGACTATTTGTCCTTTTTCTGTCTCTGCAATTTGACATTCATGCAAAATAACTACCACTATATTTTATTTAACCACGTTTGGCTTCATTTAGATCCGGTATTTTAATGAACTTGTCCTTCCAAATTTCTTTTTGGTCCTTCACACACATTCCTTCCTTTTTTTTCTACGAGATTCTGTTGGTTTTTCAATACATTATTTACTGCAAATCCAACCACTTTCGTAGTAAAGGTAACTGTCTTTTCAATTTCCTTTGCATTTTCCAACTAGTTCATCCCAGGACTCAAGAAATCAATTTCTATGCCCTTCTCTTTTGTTTCTTTTCTCTGTTTTTCATCTAATCAATCCAGATCTGTACTCTCTGATTTTCCATTGTTCCTTTCCTTGTCCTCCCCTCACATTTCATTCCCTTCACTACCTCTTCACTGCACTCGCACAATGAGTTATCGACATGCAATCGATGAAGACTCTGTGACTGCCATGTCAGTCTAGGGATCTGAATTTTTGGAGGAAAATCATGATTTCCACTTTGGTGATGTTGATCCACATACTATTGAGCTGCCTTACCTTCGTTCTCACAACATGCAGCTTACAGATTCGCACACAATGCTGTCAAGGGATAATCTCAGGCTCTCGCTGCTGGGCTACCTAGTTGATGTTATACAGGTGGATGATCGGACCATGCAAACGTATATGGTCAAGAATTGGCCCATGTATACCCGAGTTCTTCATTATACAGAAACTTTTTTCTCATCAAGTTTGCAAGCAGATCTGACATGCTCACAATTCTGGATAACGGCCCGTATGCAGTCAATGGCAGACTTCTCATTCTTAGGCGATATTATGATCATGAAGATCTGTCTTTAGACAGCATCAGAATTGACAAATTCAGCATCTGGGTCCAGATGCATTGGGTTCCCATCTCAACTCTGAATTATCTTGGTGTTGAAGGCCTTGCAGAGAGGGTTGGAGAGGTTGCTAGAGTTAAGGAGGACTGTGTCTCGCTACGCAAGGCAACATATGTCTGGGCTAAAGTATGGCTCAAACCTAGGGACCACATCACTCCTTGCTTCCATATCACCAAGAGAAATGGGAGGCTAGGGAAGATCCGCTGCAAATATGAACACATACACAAATACTATAAGTGCTGTGGACGTTTAGGCTATCCTGCTCAGCGTTGTTTCATGGGTAATCCAGATGAGTTGGAACAATTCCTGAAAAACTATTTCTCTGCCAAAGCTGCCAAGTTTGGTACTCCAATGGTTATTGATGCTACTCAGCACTTGTACACCAGTTCACTCAAGGCGCATGCACACAAGAAGAAGAGATGCACTCGCCTGCCCTCTTACAAAATCAGAGCAATGAAGGATTATTATACCTTTGTGCCCGATCATTATGTACAAGATGGATTCTTAATCACTGAAACTGATGAGCCAGAGCCAGTTCCTTGGTTTGCCAACCAGAATGCAGATGATGGTGATGATAATGATTCAGACTCAGATGGCGATGTTGATATTGATGACAACTATGATGGTCCTGATGGAGGAGATGAGCATTGGCAAGCTGATATGAATGTTGATGATTTCTATCAAGATGAGGTCCCCCCACTTCTCTCCAAGCCTTCTTACAGAATGAACTCCGCAACAACAATGACTTCTATGATCCTAGTAGGACGGCAGCTCCAGCTGCTCTAGAAGGCTATGTCTCTGACCATTCTAGTTCTAAAGGAAGTTCCCATGAAGGTACCTTTTATTTAATCCCATCCCTTATAATGTCCTCTTCTGAAAATGCAAATATGAAGTGAATAGTTGTTACATGCTTGCTTTTTTCTATGAGATTCCTGAATTCCCTTCCACTGAGGAGAATATGGATGATCCTGAATTTATCCCTGATATCTTTGTACCCAATGTCTGTCCCAACTAGGAGTGCCTCTCCTATCTCTGTATTTAGTGGTTAGAAGTCTGAGGACTTCTCTTCTGATAGTAGTGTAGTTCCCCCTGTTGTGCCCACTACTCCCATGGGTGATCTGATTAGAGATTACCCCTCCCTAACTTCTTCTGATGAATCTGTTAGTTTAGAAAAGGAGCGTAGGAAATGTCTTAAAGTGATAGGTCGCAGATTCAAGAAGCGCAGAGCTCAACAATTGACTCAAACTTCCTCAGCCCCTGCTCAGCTGGAAGATGATGATAGCCAGCTCTCGAGTGATTCTGATGGTTGGTTCATGAAAGTCAGGAAGGCGGTTTCAGAGCCATCTCTGCCTCTGTTTTATCATACTTCAAGACGTTGTACCAAGTTCCCCTGTACCAGGAAATCAGGCAATCAAGCAACCAGTCCATCCCAGCCTCTGAGGAAGAAAAAGGTTCCTGGTCCAGCTACATGGATCATGAAGGTGGATTTTGATTTTTCCATGGATTCAGATTCTTCTACAAATAGCAGGAAGAGAGCTTCAGAGGACTCGCATGAGGACCATGCAAGGCCCACCAAAAAGAAAGCTATAGTTCCTGGAGCAACTGTGGAAGACATGCTCATGCCAGTGGATCATTCACAGGAGGCAGATGGACTGTCTCAGCTGATGAAGAGTATTACGGTGGTTGAACCAAATCAACCACCTTCACCTCAATGAATATCCTCTCTTGGAATTGTAGAGGTGCCAACAGTGCTTCTATGCAGCAATATGTAGGTAGTTTATGTAAGCATTATAAACCTAAAGTACTTTTTTTCATGGAAACTAAGGCAGCTAGTGATAAGTTAGGAGTATGGCATCAGACCTCCACCTTTAAAAACTCTTTTCTAGTTGATCAAGTAGGATCTAGTGGTGGTCTAGCTTTGTTTTGGGAAGATAGTGTGCATCTTACTATAGGAATGCACTCATTGAATGTAATAGTTACTAAGATGGTCGAATCCACAAGCACAACTTGGCTTGCTGTATTTTTGTATGGTCTCCCTTCTCGTCAAGGTAGATCTGAATTTTGGGCACATCTAAATGCCAATCTAAGCCCTTTTAGTTATCCTACTGTTATTCGAGGTGATTTTAATCAGGTAGTAACTCGGGAAAATAAGACTAGTGGTAGATTAGTTAGATATCAAGACACTCAGTCGATTCAGCAGTTTCTTGCA